GATTTCTGGTTTTGGGTCGTTACCCAACTCTAACCTCTACCTGCTATATATCTATTGGATGCTGGGAATTTGCAAAAATCTTAGATATATAAGCATCAATAAGTCATCTGTGATGATACATACTAGTATTAATAATTGTAAGCAGTCTGGTTACTATATCAAGATCGCAGGGCATAAATCAGTTTCATCTCCACTTATACCTAACTGCCTAGGATATAACTATTACATACTCTTAAGGTCTCTTAGAGTAGTGAACAGCTCGGCTCACGGCTAACATTTACTAAGCTGACGGCTCTGCAACCAGAGCTGAGCCGTTTATAAGCCGAGCTGGGCTGAACCGCTAATAGTGCGTAATATGATTTTACAAAAATCCTGATATACTTCTGTTTTTCTATGCAAAATTTTTTTTCAATTAATGAACTACATGTTATAAAGCGTGAAATAGCTTTGAGGATTTACTGAATTAAAATGAAATTCGGCAATTGCATAATTTAGGTCACGAAACTATATGATCTACTATTGGCTATTGTAGGGCCGGGAAATCTCTATTATAGGTCCCCGCTACAACAATATTCGAATACTACTATAAATTTTGAAAATGTGATCGACCTAGCATAGATTCGATTTATTATAAACCTTTGTGAAGTCACCGACTTTAGATGATTCGCAAAAAAAAAGGTCACCGCTCTGAATTAGATTCGCATATATATAGAATATAAAAAGTCACTGCTATTTTGATTCGGTTTATTATAAATCAGGTACAGATTCGAAATTAGATGTTCCGATTAGAAATTCAACGAACATAAAATACGAGCAAGGTCAGAATAAAAATTGAAGTAAAGCTCTGAAAAAGTCCGAAAGTTTTAGCAGCTTATATATTATATTATGTACTAAGGTGATTGACTAAAATGAAATTCGCTTTATCATTAATTTTTAAAGGTGTCCGTAAAACTGATTAGCCTAATTATAAAAAAGCAAGCTTCGCAAATCATATAAATAAAATTTTTATGGTGGGACCTATAATAAAGATTTCCCGGTCCTGCTAATGTAATATTGACCTATCGGCTCGCGACTCCATGTTCGGCTTCAAAGTCTTTAGCTGGAGCCGATACTTTATTAGTAGACCCTTATCCGAGCCGATGATCGGCTTGGCTTAGCTGATCGGCTTGCGGCTTAGCCTAGCCTTAGCCGTTCGCATCATTATCTTAGAGTACATATTATTATTAAATAATCGAAAAGGGCGCACGTGATGTATGTATATTGTTGGATTCACACCCGCCAAATAAAGCTGGTCGTTAAATTTATTAGAAATGCTTTATTAATATGAGCAGCATATATAGGTGCTATCGATGTATAATTATTAACGATGCGAAGCATCAGCCGGTGGTTTCCCACCTGCATGAATCAGGCCGGCTACTAGTCAGGATTTTTTAGTAAAAGAATTAGCATCAGTCGGTGGTTTCCCACCTGCATAAAGCAGGCCGGCCGTAATTCCAAAGGATTTGCATTTACTGCGAAAATGGCAAGATTCACTGGGGTGGGTAGGATCGGGTGCGAAACCTGGGGCGTGTTCTCAGAATGCAGGTGGGCTTTCTGCTTCCAGTTCCGCCTCTTTTATTCTAATCATGTTTACCTAATCATACTCACACAATGTAATTCTTTCCTCTTGCCGATCAGTTGTTATCCGGTTTCCATCCAGTCGGCGCTCCTGCGGCCGCATGTGAAAGCGCAAACGGATTACTGCTTACGTCACCTTTTCGATCTGTTAACTTTTTGTCAATTACAGTAAATAATTGATCAGCAAATTAGCCACTTTAGCCGATCGGCTAATTGGCTAAGAATCGATAACCGATCGTAGTCGACCGTAGTCGACAGAACCCATCCCTAGTCTACAGTAATATAATCTAATTGATTATTTGATTAAAGTTTAGGGTAATGGGTTAGGGTTAGTGCATGTTTTATATTAACAGTCTAAATAAAAGCAAAAGCGACAGTGATATCGGCAGCTTATATAATATTATAACAGCCGTAATAATTTCGAAAGTCGATAATAATTTCAGCAAACAAAAATACTTTCGTTATGGAGTGTAATGGCGAAATATTAAAAAATTTTGCCAGAATATCTGTAGTAAATCATTCTTAGTTTTGTCACTCATGTTAGACTAATTAAATTTAGAACTATAAAAGCAAAAATATGTAGCGTTAGGGTGTGCAATACTATAATATATAGATATAGTTAGGATAATATATATCGATCATTATTTGCGGATTTTTTAATATCTATACAAATTTTTTTATAGTCTGAGATAAATATTAATTACTGACCTGAGTTAAATATTAACGTTAATCACTGATTTGAGTTAAATAAATTTTTGATCTGAGTTAAATATTAATTTAATTATCTCTATAATAGTCGTATATATATTTTTTTATATTTATTACAAAGGTACATTTTTTGAGAAAATGAGATAAATTATAAAGTTTTTATTATTTTTTTAACACGCAATTAAAAGCATTCTCTTTACTCTAATAGAGCCATTTTCTTTTAAAATTTCTAATTTAAATTTTATTTACAATCATTTATATATCAAAATATTACATATTTTTAAATCTATTTTTTGAATTATAAAGTAAAATCGCTCTATTTGATTGTAGCCCTACAATTTAGCTTTTGTATTGTTTATATTAATAAAGTCAGTTTACTAAAAAATGTACCTAAAAATTTCATTTTTTGCTATTAGAGTGACACCTAAAAATTATCCGCGGATGCCATAAGCAAAATCCGCAAATAATGATCGACATATATTACCCTAACTGTATATATTTTGTATTATAGCACTGCACACCCTAATGTAACGTAATAATTGTCTTGAATAAACAATAAAAAAAATTATTATTGGATCTGAATTTTACGAGATCAAATTTCAGATCCAACATTGGATAACTTTTTATATTGTTTAAATTATTATCATTACAAGATGTTCATACGGGCTATCTTGTGAATTTGTTAATATGATAGCAATTTTATGAGCTATTTTGATGATTTTTAAGTTTTGCAGAACTTACTAGGCTTAACCTAGAATTGATTACTAGATACTTGATGGTTCATAAGTATATAATGTAGTCATTTTTACGTATCTAATTATAACCTATTGATAATTTCTTTATAAACACACATATTGATGCTCTTATCAGTTACGGCCATACACAGTGAAAAGCACCGGAACCCGTCCGATCTCCGAAGTTAAGCCACTGATGGCCCAGTCAGTACTATGGTTGGGGACAACATGGGAATACTGGGTGCTGTAACTTTTTTTTTCTTTTCCTTTAAAAAAAGCGGTTAATTTCTTTAATCTTATTAGCGACGCTTAATTTGTGCTTGTATTAACGAATGTCTGAAGTTGCCTAAAAGATTAAATCTTAAATTTTTAACTGATTCCATCTAAGAAAATCTTTATAGGAATCATTGTAAGATGCTAAAAAAAGTGCGCCAAATAAATTTATATAGAACTACGTATCGATGCTATGCATCTGTGTTATTTGTCTTAAGTTTGTGTATACAGAATTAAGTGTTATTAACTTGATTTTAAAATTTTTAAGATGAATTTGCTTTGATAAGAAAATTATTTAATTTGATAAAAAGTTATTCCGAACATGTTTTGCAAGCAAAGGTCAAAAATTGTTTAATTAGATTGCTAATGGTAAAAATTATTGCTCGATTTTTATCATTGTTATAAAAACTTATTAAGGAGTAGTCTGCAGTTGAAAGGTAAAAAATTTTATAGTCTAATGCGGCGCAATATTATTATTAGTTTCATTTTGGGGGCCCCTCACAGCAAAAGGGGATGGGCCAAAAAAAATTTTTTTAAAAAATTCAATATCTTGAAAGATTAGAATTAGGGATGGGTTTAGTCGGTTACGGTCGTTTATCAGACGGTAATTATCGGCTAGTCAATCATAATAATAACAGTAATTTGGTAAATGATCACGTGCCGCAAAGCGGCACGTGTAGCCAAATTACCGTATTCGACAAGTTGCCCAATAATGGTTTATCTGGCAAGCTATGATCATGATTGGTAAGGAGTCGCTCGCTGAGTTTTAATTTGAATAAACATAATTGCATTGTAACACATGAGATATTTTTTCATGATTGCCGGATAATGTATACATAGAAATCAATAACTTAAATGAATCGGTCAAAAATCATGATAATAGCTGTAAGTTTAATATCAGAACTTTTAAATCTCACAGGAATGCTTCCTGCATAACCATCGTCTTGTTGACTTTGTCAGCTTAAATTAACAATTCATGCGAAAATTTAAATTATTGTACAAGTGTTATAATAGCTAAAATTAATTGCTTATAACGGTTTTGTAATGGTTATGTAATTGGCTTTATAATAGCTATAATGGTTTTATTAATTCAAATTCGTAATTAATACGAATTGATTCGAATATTCAACGAATTGAATGTTCGATTCTAACTTCTATTCATTTTCCGCCTTTAGTAGTTCTAATGCTTTCGTATTTCCTTTCAGAGCTGCGAGTTTTAGATATTTAATTCCTAATACTTTATCTTGTTTAAATCCGAGAGATCCCTTTAAATAAGCCTCTCCAATAGTAGATTCAGCACTTGTACACCCTTTATTAGCAGCAGATCTCAAATACATTAAAAGTTCCTTTTTCTTTTCTTTCGATTTCTTTGCCTCATCTGTTAATGTGAATGCATATCTAAATTGAGCATCAGCAATTCCATCATCAGCAGCCTCTTTAAAAAGTTTCTTTGCTGTTACAAGATCTTTATTTCCATTACAACCCTCCCATAAATAATAACCTTGCCAATATTTTGCAATAGGATTTCCAAGTTCAGCATTTGCTATAAAACACTCCCATGCAAGCTTCCTATTTTCAGCATTTCCAGTCGTATGAAGTCTAATACCTTCTTCAAGTGGCGTTATCTTTTCAATTTCATTAAATATTTCTGTATCAAATGAGATCACTTCACAATCTGGTAATATTGGCTCATTCAGATCTAAAATTTTATTTAGAAGTCCATGATATTCATCAGGTTTAACATACTTTACTGCCAACTCCTGTAATTCTAAGAATAACTTTGTAATAGTAATTCTTAAAATTGGATCTTGATCCCATACTTTAATTACAAAATATAATATTAATATGTATAATATATGATTAGAAAAATTAATGCTGTATAGCACGGACCATGGTACCAGGCAAAATTTGTATAGTACCTGAGGTACAATATAAAGTGAATTTTTTTTTTGAAAACGGATACGGGTACTTTATATTTTATCATGAATTTTGCTAATAGAGTACTTTGCATAGTGAGGGTATCATGGTCTGTATTGTACATATAGAAATATACTTACTCTTTGTAATAATGCTCGTAAGTTCCTTTTGAATTTCTTTATCATTTGGTAGTCTTTCTGGACTGATAAATAATTTTTCCCTACCACCGTTTAGAACAAAATTAATTATATCTTCATATTTCATGTCTTTATAAGGAATTTTTTCATAACAAAGTTCCCACAAAAGCATTCCAAAACTATTTTTGAGGTCGATTAATATATGCGTCATAAAACAGTATAAGTAAACTTAAAATGTATAAGTACCTAAATATTTCACTTTTATGAGTATAACCACCATCATTAACTCCTCCAGGTATCATTTTTTCAGGTGCTAACCAATGTACGATTGTTAAATGTTCTGAAACGTCAGTTGTCTTACCAGTTACCATACGAGCATATTCAAAGTTCGTAAGTTTCGGATCCAAAGTTCTTGTTATCTAAAAATAATATTGTATAATACCAAGATATTAGATCACTCATTACCGTGCTTTTCGATTATTGCTATGCTTACCATTACGTTTTCGCATCGAATATCATGATGAAAGATATTAACAGAATTCAAAAAAGCGATTCCACGACAAATGTCTAGAGACAATTGTACCTTTTTACACCAAGGAATATCAAATTTTTCATAAACTTCTTTCAAATTTCCTAGTTCAGCCCATTCAGAAATCATAACGTTATAATTATCAATATATGAAATCCCATGGAATTTTAGTATGTTTGGCGCTTCGCCCAGTATTCCTAGAATTGCCAACTGTAATTTGAATTTTTGAGAATCTAAATCTTTTTGAAATTTAATAGGTTTACATGCCACTTCTAATGTTTTTCGAAATAATTTTCTAACAACAAAAGGCTCTTTTGTGCCACGTCGATCACCTTCCCTTCTGATAGGTTCTTCAAATTCATTTGGAGAAATTTGAGTTGCTTGAATTTGACCGGTTAATAATGGAATAGTTTCATTTTGATTAGAGTTTGATTGGATTTGCGACTTGATCAATAATACTTCTTGAAGAATTGCATCAATTTTTTTATTATGATCAGTAATTCCACCATCGATTTTTAAGAGGAACTAGATATATATATATATGTCTTTATAACGTTACCGATGTAGAACCAAATAGAATTGTTATAAAATTTACCTCCGTCATCTCATTAAGATCTTCTTTCAAACTCATATTATCAAGCTTGCTTTGTTCATCACTTGCTAAGGTCATATTAAAATGTAAATCTTTCATAGCGGTATCAAATTCGCTAGTTAATTTAATAAATGTATCTTTTACTTCTGTTGCCATGACAAATTTTCTGTATCCCTGAAGTTTCGTAACATCTGAAGCAAAATCCCTGATTTTTTGTAATACAGTCTCAAATCTTTTAAATGCGTTATAATAATCTTGCCTTTTAAAATTTTCTTCATTCTCTTGTTTTCGCCGATTTAAAGATTTCATCGCAGCATGTGCGATATCCGCACGATCTAATAGTGCACTACAAATTTTCTTATTATATTGTGCAGTTTCATTTATCGAAATAATTTCAATGATAAGATTAGTTATTGAAGATATTAGAGGGACGTAAGAAGAGATGGCAGTGCTAACCGCACTGACTGTTTTAATGACACCATCTGTAATATTAACTTCAATTTTAGAGTCGTCATCTGAGGCCATTACTAAACAAAGATATACTGTTACCCAACCCATACTAGGTTTTATAATCAAAATAAATACATTTCATAGTTACATCAAACAAATATTTGTTCCCGTGAGAAACAATATTAGTAAGCAGATGTTACACATCATTTGTATATAACTGAGCTGGATTAAAAATTAAATAGCCGTTTGCTCTTTTTCTAGAAAAACTTTCGAACTCAAGAACTAAAATAATCCATGCCAAAAATATATTTGTCATTTCGATCAATTTGGTACCCTAAACTGCAAGATCTTAAATTATCGCTTTATGATGGAAATGTAATTCCGAGATTATTCAACGTTAATTCTCTAAAAACTCTAATAAATACTATTTATTCCCCGTGCCGGTGGGAATAATGAAATATTTCCCCAGCGGTATATGTATGGGCGCAAAGCGCTTATACATACACCGCTGGGGGAATGTTTCAATTATTTCCCCGGCCGGTGGAATAAATTAGTTATTTCCCGTCTCATTATGATCGCATGACGGGAATTTATATTTTATTAATCAATTTTTATTGCAAATTTTTTCTTTTTTTTTTTATTTGTTATTTCCCCTGGGGTGAAGCCCGGGGTGATAACAAATAAGAAAAAAAAAGAAAAAAGTTTGTGATAAAAATTGTGATTAATAACACATAAATCCCCGTCATGCGATCACATTGAGACGGGGAATAACTTCAATTAAAAAATCTCATATCGGCGGATTTGTGGAATTTGATAAAAGAAAAACCCATGGGCCATAACTCTGGTCAAATCTGCAGATCATTTGGCCAGCTTTGAAGTCAACCTGGCCAAATGATCTGCGAATTTGACCAGAGTTACGGCTCATGGGGTTTTCTATTTATCAAATCCCACAAATCCGCCGATATGTATATCAATTATTTCTATTTAGTTCATTAGTCTTTTCGACATTTTTTACTATTAAACCTTTATCAGCAATTATTATATATATATATATTTTGCAACTTTGTAAAACTAGATCAAATTCTTTAACAATAAATAAAGTTAAAAAAAGGGAATGTGCTTATTAAGTCGAGCTTTGACTAGTAAATAAGTTAAAATGGGAATGTGATTATTAAGTCGTGCTTTGACTAGTAAATAAATTAAAAATATAAGAACAGTAATATTTATTACAAATATCACACATTCGGGAGTTTTTTTTGGTATCACTGGGGAAATTTATCATGAATTGTGCTTTGACGTACAACATAAATATTTATAAATACATTAAAAATAATGCAATTTAGCGTTATTCATTCATTTTTATTGCTTGAAGTAACGCTTTCGTAATAATCCAATCGATTTCGTTTGAGACTTGATTTAATAATTTTGTTCATCAAATTTGGCTTCATAAATGCTTGCATATGATACTTATAAACGATGCAGAACAATAGGGAATTAAGTTACGAGATTTATTTAAAAGGAAATTTCTGATATTTCAAAAAGTCTCGCTTCATGCTTTTCATCTGTACTTTAAAAATACTATGGGTCAATTCATGATACATTACCATGAATCAAGAGATCATGATGTCGCTTGCAAAATCTTCAAAACCACTGAAATCAAGACATTTATTTCTCTGCCAATTATTTCCTTGACATAAAATTGGCATTAGAGCTGACCTGATTTAGAGCTAATGTTGGTTAGAATTATATGTCGGGAAATAATTGTCAGGGAAATGTCTTATCTAAGAAAAGGGTTATAAAAAATGTGTAATATCAAATATACGTCTTATCGAAAATGTGCTGTAGATGTCGACATTACGGTGTCGGGGAAATAACTTTCAGGAAATCATAATGTAATCGGCCAATGTAATGTTGGTCCAATACCTGCTAATCTGATTGGCCACGAGTAATGTAAAGAACTAATCGAAAGCAAGCGTTGACCTTTTCCGATTTGGTTGCAAAACTAGTCATAAGTTCATATTTCATGCTTATATGATCTACTAAAACATGAATAAAAATAATAATGTGTGCTGACAAGGGAGAACTAGATTTTGTATTTTGTATTCAAGTTTATTACATATCGGTTTAACTCCTATTAAATCTAATTAATGACGTAAATGCACAGCTGAATAATTTTAACAATTATGAATTCTAAAGAATCTTCGTAAATTTGCTAAAAAGACGTAAGACCGGAGAACCAGTGTATACTGTATTTACAAACTTAAAAAAACAAAAACCTAGATTTCCTTTCACAACACTCAAGTGTACGAATTGTACTACGAGTTACAGACACTTTATATTTGTTAAGTGGTAACAGTAACGCAATGTCACTGTACATAAATACAGCATGGTGGACAATCGTGGTAGTACAAACTTCCAAACTTGAAATTTGTGACTCAGGACCGATCTGTCCAATAAAAGTACAGG